CCGAAGCGCTGTCCCAGGCGCACGTCGCGGTCATGGAGTCCATCAGTCGCATATCAAGCTTGCTGGAGACAGGTATGGCGCCTTTCACATTTTTCATACAGATATGCTGCCCGTTTCTGCTCCCCGATTTGGGCCGCACGCCTTTTGATCATGTAATTGCTTGGTGCCGCCGTCATGCATCCCTCGAACTTCGCTCACTGGTCTCTCTCTGCAGCTCGCGACCTCACTCTCGAAGCCGCCCGCGATGCCAGCAATGTCCGCCGAGCGCCAACAAAAGAACTGCCCTCGGGCCAGCTCAAGAAGCTCCTTGACAGCAGATCGGAGCGCGATGTGCTCGAAGGACTGCGAAGAGTCGTCACTGTAGGAAGCCCCGCCACGGTCTCGAGACCAGCTCATTGGACGCTGTGGGACGTGTAGTAACTGACTACAGCGCATCTAGATGTCCTACCGACAGCCGCCTTCGCAAACGCTGCCCTTCTTCTCCCACGTGATCAAGAACGTCGCATCGCCCTCGCTCCAGGTCAAGAAGCTCGTCTACATCTACCTCCTCCAACATGCCGAACACGAACCAGATACCGCGCTCCTCTCCATCAACACGATACAAAAGTCGCTCACAGACACGAATCCTCAGCTTCGCGCCCTCGCCCTACGCGTCATGTCGAGCATAAGGGTGCCTGTCATTAGCCAGATTGTGAGCTTGGGCATAAAGCGCGGTTCTGGAGACATGTCAGCATATGTCAGGAGGGCAGCAGCTCTGGCAATACCAAAGTGCTACAGGCTGGATCCAAACACCGAGCCGCAGCTACTTGAATACCTTTCGACACTACTGGGCGACAAGCAGTACTTCGTGACGGGAGCAGCTGTATCATCTTTCTTGGAGCTATGTCCGGAGCGTCTGGATCTTATACATCCGCACTACCGCTCATTGGTACGAAAACTAGTCGATATGGACGAGTGGGGTCAGCTGGCTACACTGCGGCTCATGATGATATATGCAAGGAAGTGCTTCCCGCGCCGGACGAGGAAGGTCAAGAAGGCAGCTGGGGTCACGACAAATAGCAAGCCTACGCAGTCGACGAAAGGCTTCTACGATTCAGAAAGCGATTCAGAAGAAGAGGAAAAGGAACAAGAACAGGACATGGAAGAGATTGCTGTGCTGGATCCGGACCTCGAACTGCTGCTGAAAGGCTGTCAGTCACTTTTGCAGTCTCGGAACGCGGCTGTAGTGATAGCGGTGGCAAGGACCTACTTGTATCTCGGTACCCCAGAGTACCTGACTCAGGCCATTGGCCCGCTGATATCCCTCTTGAGATCTGCGGGAGACATTCAGCACATCGCACTGTACAATATCGTGCAAGTCTGCCTGACGCACCCGGAGCCATTCGTCAAGTACTACACACATTTCTTGGTGCGATCAACCGACGCGCCACATATCTGGCAGCTCAAACTGGAACTGCTTACTCTGATATTCCCTCATGCACCTCTGAGACTACAGAGCCTAATATTGGCTGAGTTGAGCCATTTCTCCCACTCTGGAAGCTTGGATCCAGCATTGGTCAAAGAGTCAGTGCGCGCAATCGGCCGCTGCTCGCAGAGCCCTGCAACAAGCCCACAGACCTCCGCAAGATGTCTGAAGCTGTTGCTAAAGCACATAGGATCCGCCGATACTCATCTGGTAGCCGAATCGCTGGAAGTCATCCGACATCTGATCCAACGAAACCCGAATGCTCACCGAACAACTGTGGTCCGGTTAGCGAAACATCTCGATGCAGCAACGAGCCCCCAGGCACGAGCAAGCATCATATGGCTGGTCGGAGAGTTTGCAGGGATCGACCCAGAAAACAACATCGCCGCTGATGTTTTACGCATCCTTGTCAAAGGCTTCGCGGACGAGGCCGAACCAGCAAAGCTCCAAATCGTATTATTGGCAGCGAAGGTCTATGTGCATCATTTAACTGCAAACCCGCCTCCAGAGCCGAAAGTCGAAGAGCCCAAACCGTGTCCGTCGATCATGGATGATTTCCAGGAAGACCAAGGCGGCTTTAGGGACGAGCATCTTGAGTCCACCCCACAGAATGCGGAGCCTGAAGAGGAGAAGCCACACATTATTGAAGCCCTATACAACTACGTGCTCCTGCTCGTGAGGTACGACACCTCGTACGATCTCCGCGACCGCGCTCGCGTCTACAAAGCGCTTCTGGCGACACCAACATCGACACAACTCGCGTCGCTCTTACTTCTTGCACCGAAACCAGTGCCACATATACCCAGCCCGAGTGAAACAAGAAAGGGCTACGTGCTCGGCAGCGCCAGTCTCGTCATCGGCGACGAAGGCGGTGTAGGTGGTTTACGAGGCTACGAAGACCTGCCCCGTTGGGTCAAAGAAGGTGATGAACCGGATCCAGCTCTACGCGATGAGGTCGTCTCAAACTCTTCTTCGACATACGTATCGGCATACGAGACCGCGAAGAACATGTCAGCGGCGGAAAGATTAGACGCTGCAGCAGGTGGTAGTAGCAGGATGACGCCAGACAGCATGTTGAGCCCACGAAGTCTGAACGGTATGGGTGGAGATTCTAGTATGGGTGGTGCAAGTAAAGTACCACAGAAAGAAAAGACGCTGGACGATTGGCTGGCCGAGGAAGAAGAGGAGAGCAGCAGTGAAGAGGAAACGGAAGAAGAGGAAGAAACGGAGGAGGAGGAGAGCGAATACGAAACAGACAGTGAAGAGGAGACTGATGACGACGAAAGAGGAAACCTCATCAAGTAGATATGGAGGTACCAAGCGAATGATCACCTTCCATGCCTGCTTGGCAGTTTACACTTCATTTTAGGCCTTGTAGCCCAGCCGCTACCAAGTATGAAGATGGCTGTGAACCAAACATTCTATCAACGAGCGTGTACAACAGAACAGGTAGTGACAGTTCTCCCGCCTGGATTTGTAGCATCTTGCCAGAGCCGTGCCTCATCATCAACACCACTGTGCTTAGTCATTGCTGTCTCTATAGATACATCATCTCGCAGTCGCATTTCAAATGCCTCCTTGACGTGGTATCGGCTATGTGAATCCGGTGGTGCTAATTCGTTGCTCTTACAGCCATCGTCATCCCGGTTGTTGCTGCGGAAGCGGGAACTCAAGAGGCTAGGGAGGTAGCGCGCGAAGAACGGCCTCAGAGCGGGAGCGCATGCGCAAACTATGCCGGCATTGACTTCGGCAAAACACCACTGGAATTGTTCAACCGCCTCCCACGTATAATCGGCAGAGACCATGAGAGGATTCAACAGTGTCGTTCGACGAATCGCGACGGCACAGACGCTACGCGTACGGTCAGTACAAATTTTCCTAATGACTGGGTTGACTTACAATCCACCGGTCGCGAAGATAGCGCATACAGTGATCTTTTGTCTCCGCGGCATTTGTAGTCTTACTACTATGGGTATCGGAAGTATCAGTGTCAAGACATCTATTATGATGTTCAGGACGGAGAGCGCCATGTACTTGGTCAACTGATCAAGGCATGTAGCCCCAGGTACAAGTCTGAGATCCCATGTCGCAGCTATTGGCCTGCAGCCGAAGATACTGACGAGATCGTATACAGTGGCGTAAATCACCACCACCGCTACGAGGATCCAAACCAGTGTGCGGAACCATACTTGTGGCGAAAGGCGTAGATAGAACAGCAGTATCGAAAGTTTTGAGAATGCGATGCTGGTAGCGTATAGGGTCGTGCCGACCAATGTCCACTGCGCGTTTCGTTAGTGTCGCAGCCGGAATGTTGCAACGAGTATACCTGCCTTTTGGAAAGGAACCATGTACTCGTCTGTTTTGACTTCCCACATATGGTAGCCTAAGCCGGACTTCATGTCTGCGTTACAATTAGCCTTGCAAAGGAGAGTGACGGCGATTGGACATACGCGGAAAATTGCACCCCAGCAGCGCAAGGCTGCAAACCATTGCACACGCTACTATATCTGAACACCGAGAGTTAGCACAATCACTTTTTTTCAAGATTCGTAGACCATTGGGGAGACCCACAATCGTTGAGACGGACACCCAGTTTGGTGACATACGCTCGTGTAAAGAGCTGTAGGATCACGGCTACCAGAGCAATCATCGTTGTCGAGACTCCAACGGCGGCGAGTTCTCTATGAAGGCTCGGAGGGTTGACTGTATGTCTGATTTGGCCAGGCGGTGGTACCGCCATGTAGACTGACGTCGCACTCATCCTCGCCAAACTAGAAAGCGAGCGCAGGTTGAGATACGCAGGGTGACAGTCGAGGCGAGAGGCGCATGCTTATAACCTCCGAACTGATCAAGCCAATCACAAATCCTACCTGCGCCTGATTATCGCATGGCACCGCTGGACTGGTTACCACTGTCAACAAATCTAGGTACTGGTAACCGCATTTCGCATGGTTCGTTTCCGGTAGGTATCTGCAGGGCGAACTCGCATCCATGAAGCTGGTGAGATCATCTTATCTCATATCCGGCATCGCTCGTTCTATCAGCAATGTCTGCGACATCATCTGCCCTCGGGTATGGATGAAAGGAATTTGACTGCACATTGTTCTACCGTCGACAATTGCATGAATTGCATGTGAGAGGAGCAGACGAGTACCAAACGAATGGATCTTGAGGAGCATTTGTTTAGACGATATGATCGTGCGATTGATTGTCTGTGGAGCTGGCGCCCGGCGGCAATGCCAGATGGATCGCGCTAGTTCCGGGGACATCCCAAATGAGCAGCCACGAGCGGCACACAACTCCGCGCCCCACTGAAGGATCTCTAGTGCTGAGACTCTAAACGGGTCGTAGTATCCCATGTGGGAACCTAGTCAGGAGTTCGGCATATGAACATGCGGCGTGGTTGTGCTGGTGACTCGTGGCTCGCAGCCATGAACGAGGGTTTGCATATGGCTGTTGAACCGTGAGATATATGAGCGGCACATCGCTGTCGCACTGATGTTACCTGATATCTCTCATATCCTGGCTTATCGATATGAACGGCACCGCTAAGACTCTCCCATATGCTGTCAATACCCTCCCTTTCTTGGGTAGGGTTATCGCTGTTACTGGCGCCAGCCGTGGACTGGGCCTTGCTGTTAGCAAGTACTTGCTGATACGAGGTGCCACAGTCTCTATGTGTGTGAGTAATGTTCATGTAACAGATACATACGAGACGTGTGCTGACTTTGTACACTAAACTGTAGGCAACGTCGGTTGACAATCTGTCCAAAGCCACCAAAGAGATTGACACTGAGCTTCCAGACGCCAAGGACCGGTACTGGACGTGCGTCGTAGATATCGCCAACTTAGACAGTGTTCGGTCTTGGATCGAGGAGACTGTAGCTAAATTCGGAAAGCTTGATGGAGCCGCAAACGTCGCTGGTGAGCTCAATTAGCCTTCTGGATACTGTATGTGTTTCTGATCGAGTCGTCTAGCGGTGGAGCAACGCGAGATCTTCCCTATAACCGACCTCGACCCAGAATACTTCGCTAGGCTGCTCAACGTAAACGTTGTTGGTACTTTCCATTGCTTGAAAGAAGAAATGAAGGTCATCAAGGACGGTGGCTCAATCGTCAATGTTGGAAGCATCGCGAGCCACTACGGAACGCCTGGCACATCGGGTAAATACCGAGGTTTTCCAAATGCATACGAAACACACGCTGACTTTGCATCTCCACCCTGAAGCATACGTCGCCGCCAAGCACGCGCTCATTGGTCTCACGAAAGTTGCAGCTTTTGAAGGGGCGTCGAGGCGAATCAGGGTCAACGCGCTGTGCCCGTAAGTGACTTGGATGTCTGAAGACGACTTGAGCTAACTGTAGGCAGCGGATGCTTCAACACAGAAATGATGACGAAGTAGGTTCTGTTCTGTACAGATTGGTCGTGACACATTCGCTGACTTCCGATACTTAGGCCTTTCAACTCAGCTGCTGGTGAATTCCATCTGAATAAAGACAACATTCCATGTATCTTGAACCGTGAGCTTCCAGAAACATGGGAGATAGCCGGATCGGTTGCTTTCCTGCTGGGCGATGAGGCCGCGCACGTTACAAAAGCGTCATGGTCCATTGATGGTGGGTGGGTCGAGAGTAACTATAGCTCGGGCTGAGAATGTGAGTGGTATGAAGATCATGGAGTTTGGGGTTCGGTGTATTGATGCAGCGTGCGCGGCTGTTGAGCTGTAGAAGTGCACATTGCAGTTTTCCCGAAGTTGCGCGGTCGCGGTCGCGTTCTCGGGTTTCGCGTCGTAATCGTGGCTCAAGCGCCAGCCGTAGTTAGCTCAATGCTTATCGCTATCATCCCCTGCCACCTCCATGGCTGCACCTTCTTTCCGACGGGATGCGGTCACGTGTATCTGCTCTGATGCTTCCAGCGTCTCCGTCGGAAAACACAGCAATGCGTCTTCGTGCGTATCGTTCCGTGGGATGGCGCCTGGGACTGCATACAAGACTGTCTATATAACCAGTCCCCAGCTATTCAGCAATATGGGGAACACAAGCAACGCCAAACATCATCTTTCCCATCGACTAGTACAGCTGCAGCGAGATAGACACTATCATGCCTCTTCCATACGCAGACGCCGACATTACGCGATTGCAGCGCGATGCGGACGACAATCTGCTCACATACGGGACCGCATTCCATCCTGAGATAATCACCTCTACCGATGGCATCAACGTGCAGACAGCATCGGGTCACCGAATGATGGACGTTAGTGGCTTCAAGCTCGGGAATGTACCAAGTATACAATGCTAATTGTTTTATTTAGTTTACCTCTGGACAGATGAGCACTCTGATCGGGCATGGCCATCCTGAGGTCGTGAAAGTGATCGCGGATCATGCGCAACATCTCGATCATCTTTTCAGTGGGATGATCAGTCCCCCAGTCATCAATCTTGCGAAACGGTTAACTGGCGTTGCGCCGGCTGGGCTCGACAAAGCTTTCTTTCTCAGTACGGGCGGCGAAGCGAACGAAGCCGCGATCCGGCTGGCCAAATTCTACACTGGCAAATGGGAGATTGTTGGTCTGGCTGCCTCATGGCACGGCATGACAGGCGGATCGCTCGGTGCGCAGTATCACGCTGGACGTTCAGGTTACGGTCCAAACATGATTGGGGTAAGCGTATCTGCCTTAACTGCATGTGAGACGTGCACTGACCTTGTAAACCTACATTAGAACCTAGCACTGCCGACCCCAAACTCCTATCGATCGATCTTCAGACACGCTGATGGTACGCATGATTGGAAGACTGAGTTGGACTACGGTTTCGATCTTGTAGACAAACAGTCCTGCGGCTCACTCGCAGCGGCTATCGTTGAGCCGATCCTATCGAGTGGCGGTATGCTGGAGCTTCCCCCTGGATATCTGAAGGCCTTGAAGGACCACTGTACCGCTCGAGGCATGCTTCTCATTGTTGATGAAGCACAGACAGCACTTGGCAGAGCTGGCGATATGTTCGCATTCACACACCACCCCGAGGACGAAAGCGTAGTACCGGATATCGTGACACTCAGCAAGACGCTTGGAAATGGCATACCGCTCAGTGCTGTCTTAACTTCGAACCCCATCGCCCAGCATGCCAAAGACAACGGTTTCTTGTTCTACACTACCCATATCAACGATCCCCTTCCAGCTGCTGTGGGCGACAAGGTTCTCGAGATCGTCATGAGAGACGAGCTCTGCGCTCGTTCCAAGAGGCTCGGTGTCAAGCTCCAAGCAGGACTCAGGCAATTGCAGTCACGCTACGGTTGCATTGGGGACGTTCGTGGTCGCGGTCTGATGGCTGGAATGGAGATTGTTGGCGACAGAAAGACAAAGGTCGGTGCCCCGGAAGTAGGAGCCGCAGTGTCAACAAAGATTGCAGAGATGGGCTTGTGGGCTCAGCTAGCCACGATGGCATCGTTTGGTGGAGTGTTCCGGATAGCGCCTCCGATCACGGTTACGGAGGAGCAGATCGATCTCGCTTTGTCAATTATCGAAGAAGCGCTGAGGTTGACTCCGGGTACGATGCCGCTCTACACTGATATCGCCGCGCAATCATAATGTAGGTTGGTTCATATGGAAGATAATCCTTCTAGTTGGCTGTAGTATTCAATACCTATAAGTTGGTTGAGTGGAGACTTCTTGGTCACAATGGATTAACATCCTCGCAGCCCGTTGTGAACCGCATTAACAATGACCAGAACCAGAACCAGAGCCAGGACCATAACTCCATCTCATCCAGAAGCCCAAATAAACAACGCATGCTTTTCCCATACTTGAGGTAGTCTAAGTGTGGAAAGAGTCAAAGCCCTTTTCAAACACCCTCTTCTCGGTCAATTCACCGCGCACCTTCTCCAACTTTGTCTCCGCAGCCGTCTTTGCTGCCTGCTCGACCTGTGCCTTTGCCTTGGCATCCATCAAGGCCTTCTCGTAAGTACAGACTGACTTCAGGGCTTCGTTGAAGGACATCATCTGCGCACTCAATGTCTCTTGGGCGCCATTTTCTTCTCTTTCCAGGCTCTCGATCTGAAGTCGTACCCTGTCTCGTACGATGCGCTTGGAGCGATTGAACTAAATTTGAGGTCAGTTTGGTGTCTTCAGCTCCCAATCACGCGACTTACCATCAATTCTGAGTCTTCATCTTCCTGCTCTTCGTCTTCGCTTGTGGCCTGTTTCTTCGGAAGCCTTTTCCTCTTAGGTTTGTGTGCAGATGTGGGCCCCGCTAGTACACGTCCGAGTAGCGAATTTGTGTTAGGGTGACTGTGCATTGTCTTCGGAAATCGGCTTGCAGAGTTATTGCCATCTCGATGTACCGTAGTACTGAAAGCACACGCTTGGTCGTTCTCAAACACTTTCCCCAGCTCTATCGGTGACTCCTCTTGCTTGAAGTATGTCTCCTCATCGTCATAGTCTTCTTGGGTGCTTAGCTGAGTTGTGGTTTTCGTGTCATGAGTAGTTGTTGGAATGATGAGAAGCGGCCGAAGTGGCTTTTCATTCCATAAAATAGCCTCGTCTGCGATGTGTATGCATGCCCGCTTCAACGCTTCTAGACCATCTTTCTTGAAGACACAGCGGTCAATCGCTTGCTGTTCAAGGCCATAGTACGAGACCAAGAAACGTAGTTCCTGGCACCAGTGGCGGCTACCAACGTCACTGAGCCGGTCGAAAGGCTCAAGGAACTTGATGTGCTGCAGCTTCGGTACTGCTTCCCCTCTTTGTTGTTGGCGCGTTCCTATACTGTCATTAGGGAGCTTGATGGCTACCAAATTGTAGAGGCCACTCGTTGCGAGGTACAATTCAGCGTACACGCGGGTTTCTTCATCGTGTTTAGAAACCCCGATCAGTAGCTCTGCATCAGAATAAAATCCGCGGCCTTCCTTGGTAACTGTCGGTAGATAGCAAAACTTTGTTCGCCATTCCTCGTCTTTTGCGATCTCTTGATGAAGCTCTGCTAGAGTGTAGCAATTGGAAGGCTTTTGAGGATTGTTCTGGGCGTTTGTCATTGCGAGACGACTTGGAGGAAGATGTTGGATCACGAATATTACCCTGTATAACCACCCAGCGCTGGTAGAGACCTAGCAGGGTAGGTTCTGGGAAGAGTGTTGGGATAACTGAGGAGGAGCGGCAGCGCCAGTTGGAGTATGAAGCGTGAATCTGAGAGTACCTAATGTCAGACTGGATCGGTGTTAGGAGGATGGTGTATATGAGCGCTGATGTGGGCGGGGCTCTTAGCGCGCCTGCTAGCCTTCAAGAGCTCGGGTGATGAAGTAAAGGTGAGTGGAAAAGGTAACATGGCTATGATGTGCTCTTCGATGTCTATCACATCATCACCGATTCCTGGTATTGATAGCTTGACTTAAGATCTAGTCTCTCACCTACTGCGGTACATCGTCGCGAAAACTATCTATTCCTCTATCGCCGGCGTAGCCAGACCATTTCGAGCCGCCAGGCCAACGATCGTCCCACAACTTCTTGCCTTTACTGTCTTCCTTGCTTTTACGTTCGTGTTCCCCGCGCCTAACAGTCTGGACACAGTTCCTTACTTTCAGTATCAATATCGTTAACGACCTTGTTGCATTGACGTTGTATGGGGGGACTTTGGGCTCGTGAACATAACGTGAAAGTGTGTGTAGGGCAAAGCAGCGTATCCCCGCATGAGTATTGTATGCAGTGGCGGACGCACATTGTTAAGTCTAATATTCGGAAAATGTATACGAGAAAGTCAGTACTGTCTCGCCCATTGCTTTAGTATGTCGTGCGCGTGGGGTTAGCACCAGTGAATGACAGCGACGTGAATTGGTATGTGGAATGGCAAAAGTTTGACATTTTCGTGCTAGCAAGCCAGCGTAAGATAATATTTACAGTAAAGAAGTCGCCAGCGAAGTGAACGACGTTTGGCATCTTCACACCCTTGCACCATCACAGCATCTGCGTCACCGCCTCAGGAAGTTGAGTCTTTCCACGATGGAAAGCTTACGGGCAGTTGACGGTGATGGACGCGGAGCCAGTGGAGAAGTAACCCTCAGTGGCGACGATCTGGTAGTAGTGGCTACCAAGGGTCATGCCCTTGCTGGCCCAGGCGTCAAAGTGAGTCTTCATGTTGACGGATCCGCTCGAACGCTTGTTCTGGCGAACAGACCAGTACTGCTGAAAGGTCCTAGTTCCATCGATGGATGGCTGGTTGGTACGGGTCGACTGAGCGATCTTGTAGGAAGAGCCGTCGGCGGTCAGTGTACCCTTGTTCGAGGCTTGGGAAGATGGGTCGTAAGTTCTTTGTGATGTTAGTGTATGTCTCTCATGCAGTCCGTACAGGGACATTGCTCACCCGAAGTTCTCAACGACGTAGTACTCGACGAGCGGGTTGCGAGTCCAGCCGTAGATGGCAAGGTAGGAGTTGCCATTGGGGTTGTAGGTACCCGAGTAGGTGATGGTACTAATACAAGGTCAGCAAAGGTGTCACATCAAGCATGCAGCTGTTTGAGTCGACATACCGGGCAGATCCAGGGTTCCATCCCTTTCCACCGACGAAGTTGCCACCGCTTCCCCAGTTGACGCTGTAGCTTCCGCCAGCACCGTTGGTGTAGGTGACGCGGGAGCCACCATCGGTCCACCAAGAGTAGACTAGACACATGATCAACTATGCTCAACATATTACTTCATGATCCGACTTACAGCAGCCGTTGTGAGTTCCCTCGGCGTTGGGAGTGCTCTGGCGGGCAACAAGGTCACTAGGCGAACGAGCAGCTACATCAGTGGCGGGAGCAGCGAAAACGCCAGTGGCCGCAATAGCAGCGGTGACGAGGGAGGTGAAAGAGACCATCTTGAATATGAGTTGCTTGTGGTAGGAAGCGAAGGAGATGTTTGATCGTGGTGGTGATCTACGAGGCGACTCAAGATGGCTTTATATGCCTTTGCTCCACTACACACCGCGGCTTGGTGGTTCAATGGGGTAGCACCGGTTCTGCTGGCGGGACCAAGACAAACATTCTCGCCATCACTACGGCCGTCCGTCTCTTAGCAGCTAGGATGTAGATCAAGTGCTGCGATAGGAGAGACACCACTATGCCGGGCTTGGCTTCTGGAAAGAAAGGCATGCGAAATGCCGGCGCAGCTTCCGGTGTGATTGGTCTGTAACTTGAAACAAACGGTTACGGGACAAGACCGGGCGGTCATTAACCTACATGTCAATATCTCCGTGGTGGAGTGGGCTTCGGGTCATGGCGGCGCTACGACTGTCCTGGCAAGCACCCATCCACGTGTGCTCCCAAGCTCTATGGCATGCATATGCCAAGCTCTCCGCCTTTACAATCTTCCTGCGGTTAAAGAACGTCTTGGCGTGAACACCGAACAGTGGAGTTGTGAGGTGGTAATCTATGTGAAGCCGCGTGACACGTGTGGCGCTTCCAAGGCTAGAAGTGGCGGCAAAAGGCGCATCTCTTACACATTGTATGGTGATTGCTCGATATCCAAGAAGCTTAGCAGGCTATGCAGTACTTCAGGCATAGTTCGTGAGGTGTTGGCGATGTCACAGCAACAGATGAAGGACTGCGATATTTTCGTGGGGCGTCCAAGCGCGCTGCCAAGAGACGTTTGCCTGCATCTTGCTTGAGCCGCATACCGCTTGTCTCCTTCTCACCGTCACTGCGCTCATGTTCTGGACCAGCATAATCAGCGAACATGTCGGCAGCACGAATCCGCAATCATAGTTACGAGATCGTAATGAGTTCTCCGACCCCTCAGCCCGGCTGCGCAAGACCACCGTCCCTGGTCCTTGAGATCTTGCGAATATGGATCGATCTCCTGACTTCATATATACGGCAGGCTTTCCGAACCACTCCCCTTGTTACCAAGAACGTCTAAATGAGTTCTTGCATGCCATCACATGGGGTTGTCATATCCGTAAACGACGCATCACCACGTCTGCATCACCGCAGCCGCAATTCCCTCTTCACATGTACGCAGCGCCCCTTGCGTAATGCGAGGTGATCACAACACGACATTTCCCCGTATCCCGGAGAATAGCAGCCAGTTCTGGGGATCCGGGGAACTTAACGCGCCAATCACGTTTTACCCGCCATATTGTGCGCCATCACGTACGGTAAATGTTTACATAGCCGTCTGTACCCCAGATTCTACAGTCTAGACACCGCACAGCGGGCTTGCTTGCCCAGACTCTTGGTACTGTATAAGATGTCTTGTCCCGGTGGGTGAAAGGAGAATGCGTGGAAGCTTGGTTGAACCGCCGAGTATGAAGGGGCACGCTGTGCAGGTTGGTACAATGGAGCTCGGATTGAGTGAAACATCACGTGAGCTAGGCTTTGCAAGGAGACCACAGTAACGAACTGTCCACCCCCAGTTGCTGATGTTTTGCTCTCCTTCGATAATACCGTAACCTGTCACTCTTCAACTAGGCTCCTACAAGGTCTTGCGATCGTGGAAAGCTCAAAATCTAGCTTCACCATGACTTCCTGCAGGGTACTCAGAGGTGCACTGGAAAAGTTCTTACTTCACCTCGACAACGACAAGGACGTAGCAAACTCGAATTCACTGTGACTGAATAGCGTGTATTCTCCAACCTCTGCTACTAACCAGACTTTCGCTATCACTAACAACACCAACAACCTCCTCAGTCCCCAGTCTCCCAGTCAAATCTCCAATTCCAAGCCTACATCTTCACCAAAACCACAATCTAACAACAATGTGCAGACGCAACTTCTACCACCACACCGCATGCGAGCACAAGACACAAGTCTACGACAACCCGTTCACCATGTGCGGCGCAGATCCCGGAAGCAGGTATCGACTACCGTGTCAAAACCCCACCAATTCCATAACCATTTTCTCGGGACACTGCAGGGACTGCATGTTGGATTTGGAGAAGAAGCTTGAAGATCTGAGGATCTGTCAAGAAGCAGGTTGGGTGTGGACTCCGAGGAAAGAGGTCTGATCAAGGGCACAAAAGCCGCTCCAGGAGAGGTTGAAGGGGTATGAGGGGATATAAAGGAAAAGAGGCACCAACTCACGAAATGTGGAGTTACGGCGTCAACAGGGTCGCGATATATGCAGAAGTCAGTATCACAATCATGCAGAGAAATACAATTGTATGATATATCAGTTTTTTTCAATAATTACTATGTAATTGCTTGGATCAATTTCATCTTCTTCGTTCTGTCACGTCAACCACCGCAAATTTGCTTGCGTTGAGGCATGTGCAAAGTGACGCAATCTGGGGTATTCGTCGTCTCCAGCTCTCTGGCGGAGCCCGACATCAGTCGTTCAGCCAATCTGACAAAGGAAATAAAAGAAAACTGGGGGTATTGCGCTCATAACCGGGTATATCTAGAAGCAAAAGGCCTCGCACTGAAATCGTTCTCATCGTTCATAACCATATCCATCTCGTTCATTACGTAGTTTGTCATCTCTTTCATCCATTCTCGTGTGTTGTGTATTTCGTTTCGTGTTCGTCGTTCAAAGATCAGGGTCTTCGCTGGTTGATACCTCCGGCTCTGGAAGCCACTCCCTCAACTGCATCATTCTGTTCCTCGCGTGAATGATGAAGATGGAGATAGCAAGTGAGTTCCAAACATCACAGCCTTCCTGCATAAAGTCGTACATGGCGAGTAAACGTAGTGAAGGTTGTTCGTTCTTCAAGGTCGGCGGCGCGTAGCTCACAAATGCCATGACGGTGTGCGTTGCAGTGATACCATAGAGGGTCGGGACTTCAGGTACAATAGCATCTCCGCGGGCTGCTGCCTCATCGATCTGTAGAGCGTCGTACCATAGCTCGTGTAGCCGACCAAGCTTCTCGATCATCTTGCGCTCTCCCACGGCCGGGTGTACATGTCTCGAGAAGGTGACGGTTTGGAATAGAGGGAGCTGGGACCAGAGATGCTCGACTCTACCGTCTTTCATAGCCCATTTTGTGTATGCCTTGATAGCTTTGCCGATCTGGAAGTGGGGAGCGCGCTTCGTCCGCGTCTGCCAGGCGTCGCGAGCGACACCG